CGGGTGTCATTGTTTTTTCAAATAACTAGACAAATACATGTAGTGTAACAAGTAGCAAAAATGGGAATGCCAATAAGGCAGGACAAGGCTGGACAAGAAAGGACAATAAACAATGGATGGAAACTAATCAAAAAGAGAAGCAACCTAGAACTAAGGAGACATTTCCTGACAGTTAGAACAATTAATCAGTGGAACAACCTGCCTCCAGAAGCTGTGAATGTTCCAACACTGGAAGTTTTTAAGGAGAGACTGGACAGCCATTTGTCTGAAATGGTATAGGGTTTCCTGCCTGATCAGGGGGTTAGACTAGAAGACCTCCAAGGTCCCTTCAGTTTTATTATTATTATTATTATTATTATTATTATTATTATTATTGTTGTTGTTGTTGTTGTTGTTGTTATTTGGATAGGAGGAGAGACAAGGTGATGTCTGTTGACCCAAGAATAAAAATAGTTCAGAAGGCAAGGCATCAAGTTCTATTCTTAAAAAAGTCCTAGTGGTCATTAATGATTAGATGGTAGAAGTAGAACCTATTACCTTGTTTTGTTTGTTGTCTGGCCTCAGTATTTTAAATCTGACAGAATTGAAGACAGTAAAAAGTCAGCTTTAGGCTGATATGTGAGGATTTGGAGAGTGGAAACAGCATGAGAACTGTATCTTATACAAGTGTCCTAAGAACACATTACTTCTTTAATATCTTTTTATTTAATTATATTTTTATTTCCTTTAATTGGCAGGATTCTTTTACAGCATCTCCATATCACCTCTGTGAAGTGACAACTGAAGATTTCTAGCTTTTGATTCCAGGTGACTTTGATTTTACCATCTTTTAACTTTCCTTATTTATTTTGTAAAAGTTGTGATTGTAAATTGAGAACTACTTATAGAGTGGCACTGCCTACAACTGGCACAAATTACACAGTAGGGCAATGAAACAGTTCCAGTCCCATAATCCAGACAAGACTCTGGTTGAAATGGGTTGAGAATCCCATTATAAATGGAGCTGTAAGGCCACCATGTTCTCAATGAATATTCAAGAATGGAACATTTGAGATGTGGACCTACAACAGAAAAATCTTCTAGGTGAAAGGATTTTTTTTTAAAGTGAAGTTTTATATCTGACTCCTTGAACATGGTTTTCACTCAAGGAATCATATACTCATCTCCTTAATTCTGAGCCTGGCTAATTTAATCTAATTGTTCTCTGGATTTTTGAATCCTAGATATGGTAGTGCTAGTTCAATTCCAAATTGAAAAAGAATTCCGTATTTTGTAAGATGCAAAGTCTTCACTCAATACACCTTGGCCAATAACATTTTACTGCTGAAGTATTATTGGGGAAATTAAATAGCACCTGTCTACAATTTAAAAATGAATACAAATAATAAATCCAAAGATGATTTTCATTAGTTATTATATTTTTTAAAAAATGTTGTCTGTACGAAGTATGTAAAGGAGGATAAGTCAACGTAACAAGACTATGAGCTGAGAGCCAATTCACATAGTTATAACAAAGATGCATGGTTTCTTAGAGATGTGCTTGCTCTTATAATAATCCTTCTTACATCAGGCTGAATAATATGTAAAATTTCATTTTATAAACAAACAGCACAGATTGTCTATTTAGGATGAAAATATAACTTTAAACAGGTTTCTTGTCATTTACATATAGTAAAGATGTGAATTACCTACCGTATCTATCACTTTTTATTTATTTATATTTTTTGTGAAAAACCAGGGAGTTTCTTGCTCCATCAACATAAAAATTACCATTTTTCCTCACTGAATTCATAACCATGCAGTTTAAAAACAGCTCAGCCTTTGAATATCAATATTTATTTGAATCAAACATTTCTAATTCAGATTCAAGGGGCTGGCTTTTTCATTTTAATTGCATGCTATATTTCATTTCTCCATTTTGGAATGTTATACTTCTCAGATGCCAGTGGCAAAAAAATATGAAGTTAAAGGTTAAAAAATTGTAACAGAACAACAATTAAACAAAATATTGGCTTTCCACAACACACTTTACTACTGATGTATTACTGGGGAAGTTAAATAGCATATTCAACAACTTAAAAATGAATAGCTTATTTTCATTTATAAAGTAACACATCTAGTATACTTAATCTTTCAAAAACTCAGATGAAAAACACAGATGATGATTTTAGTTATTATATTTTTAAAGAAGGTATAATAAACAAGCTAAACATAAGAACTTCTGACTTCTGGAATTTTTCTATTCCTTCCTCCTGAAGCCATTGCAGTGGCTTCAGGAGATGTATAAAATTAAATGTGCTCTCTCTCTCTCCGGAAAAAGTTGTGATGTGTGTTCTCCCTTAGAATGACAAATGTATTTGTTGGCAAATATGCATCAAGAAGCACAAGAAGACTTGCATAATGTTGCTTTAGGGAAAGTGACCAGAAAATAAAATTTCTCTTGTAACTTCTCTCCCTACTCCAAATTTGGTCCCATTATCTTCACTTTGTAGAGAATCAATAGACTCCTGAGAATAGAATAGAATAGAATAGAATAGAATAGAATAGAATAGAATAGAATAGAATAGAAGGGACCTTGGAGGTCTTCTAGTACAACCCCCTGCTCAGGCAGGAAACCCTGTATCATTTCAGACAAATGGTTGTCCAATCTCTTTTTAAAAACTTCCAGTATTGGAGCATTCACAACTTCTGGAGGCAAGTTGTTCTACTAATTAATTGTTCTAACTGTCAGGAAAAATCTTCATAGTTCTAGGTTGCTTTTCTCCTTGATTAGTTTCCATCCATTCTTCAGGTTCTTGTCCTGCCCTCAAGTGCTTTGGAGAATAGCTTGCCTCACTCTTCTTTGTGGCAACCCCTGAGATATCCGAAAACTGCTATCATGTCCCCCCTAGTCCTTTTTTTCATTAAACTAGACATGCCCAATTCCAGCAACCATTCTTTATGTATTTTAACCTCTAGTCCCCTGATCATCTATGTTGCTCTTCTCTGCACTCTTTCTAGAGTCTCAACATCTTTTTTACATTATGGCAACGAAAACTGGATGCAGTATTCCAAGTGTGGTCTTACTAAGGCATTATAAAGTGATATTAACACTTCACATGATCTTGGTTCTATACCTCTGTTAATGAGCCTAGAATTGTGTTGGCTTTTTTGGCAGCTGCAGCACACTGCTGGCTCATATTTAAGTGATTGTCCATTAGGGCTCTGAGATCCCTCTCACAGTTACTACTATTGAGCGAGGTACCACTATACTGTACCTGTGTATTTACTTATTTTCAAGATTCCACTGGGTAGGAAAGAATGACAAGAAAGGGAAGGCATATCAAACATAACTTCTGGGGTTTTTGTTTTTTTCAACATGTTTACCAGTCATAACACAAGTCAGGTCATCAAATATCATCAGTATGCTAATTATATCCAATTGCACATCTCGGTGCTGAGATAACTAAATTATGCTGACAAAGACCTGTCCCAGGACCGGAGGCTGTGTGAGTCTGGATGGGGAGAAACTGGCTCACATTCAATCTTGAGAAGACCAGGATTCAGTCCCCCCACCCCTGGTTCTGGAGGTCTTCCATCCTTAGTCTTGGAAGGAGCTGCACTTCCCCATTAACTCTGGTGTGCAAGTTGGGGGTTATTATGGACTTATAACTCCTGCTCAAAGAGCAGGTGGCAGTTCTGGCCAAGAGGATATTTGCACAAGCACACCTGGTGTGCCAGTTTGTACTGGGAGCTACTTCAGATAATCACTCATGTGCTGCTAACTTCACATTGAATTATTGCAACTCACTCTACATGGGACTGTCCATGAAGATTGTTCAGAAGCTGCAGCTGGTACAGAATCTGGTGGCACAGGCAGCATTGGGCTTGCCTCATTATGCTCTTGTGACCTCACTGTTCTGTAAACTGCACTAGTTATCAATTGACAAATCAATATGCTGTATACCATGTTTAAAGCCCTACATGGCATAAGACCTCACTATTTGAAGGATTCCCTATTTCCAGTTGTTTTTGCCTGCCAGTGCAATCAGGTTGTGTGGGCACTCTCCACTGTCATCTTAGCAAAGACCAAGCTTCTGTTTGATGGGCTTTTCTTGGTTTTATGTTGCTCTGAACATTGTACATGATTCTTTTTTGTGTTTTGTATCCTTTTAAAAAATTTAACTGTAAGTCAGGTGGCCTATAAAATTGTAAAGATAAATATTTCTATTTTTTGTGTATATTGCATGTTTTGTATGTATACATACATTGAGAATTACAGAGTCAGATGCATATGCTCTGGTCACATGACCAAGAAAATTTGGGAGGGGGCTTAGAGTCAAGACATATGAAGCCATTGCATGATTGCATCTCCCAAAGAGAATGTTTTTCCTAGAATTTCTTTTCTCTATAGTCTCTGCCTGGCTCCAACCCATTTTCAAATTAATCTTTACTTTTTTGGCTTCTCCCACCTACCAATTTGTTCTAAATCTGTTCTGATTTAGGGAAATTTACATTTAATAAATAAACATTTATTAAATACATGGATGTTGCGAGATCATGTGACAAGTTGGAACAATGTATAACTTTACATGTACTAATTCTTTTGGATTTTTATAGATTCCATATATCTAATGACAATGGAGATCTACCATTGTCATTAGATATGACAGATCCCTAGATTAGCAAGATGATCGTTGGGTGTGATACTTTGTTTTATGTTTTGTTTTGTCTTGATCTACATATGAACTCAGATTCTTTGAATTATAAATAATGAGTTATTTCTAATGGTATATTTTCACAGAAAAATCATTTTTCAATAAATTGTAGTAAACAAAATTATTTACACAAAATATGTACAATTACAAGTTAATTTTTTCCTTTAGTCATAGTTGCTTCTGATTGTTACCTTTCCCCCGGTTTTAAGATGGATTAGCCATGACAACAGAACTGAAATTGCAAAGATCTGAAATTCAGCAGAACCAGTCAGTTAAAACAGCAAGCTTTTGAAAAACAGTTCATTACGTCTGTGGAACAATGAAGAAATTACTGTCATTATATGTTCAATAAAACATTTCTGACAGCTCTCAGATCAGCTTATGGTTATCAGTTACAAAAACAAATTTTCTGCATTTATCATCATTGTGGGATCAGAATTTATCCTTTTTCATACTAAGCTTCTTTGGAAAAAGAATAACAACAAAGCAAAGACTAGCGGACATGACATCCACAGAAGGCAATGTTTAACCTGTCTTTTGCCAAATGGAGGGGGGAGTGGTTAGTTTTCAAAAATGTGTTCAATTGCTGGGGGAGGTTTTGTTGTCAGAAACAACAGCAAGCTATTACAAAACTATATCTGAACAGCTGGAGAATGGACAGCATAGCAGTATACAAGTCCCTAATTAATATCTATTCTGATAGAAATAGACAGCATGAGCCTTTGGAAACCTGTGAATGACCAGCTGTATTCATATATATTTTTGTCCAATAGAAAAAATAGATTTGTTTGTTTGTTTGTTTGTTTGTTTAAAACATGTATACACACACACACACACACACACACACACATTTTACATCAAACTCTGGGTGGCTCCCAAATTACTTTTAAATTGCATCCTTAAATATTTTCGTTTTCTTAGAGGGAAAATAATGTAACTGTCCCTTCAGCCTGTTTTGCTTCAGACATAGTATTCAAATAATTTATGAGAGTCTGAACTTGTTCCCATCTATAAAGGTGCAAAATTAAACCATTTTCAGTAAAAAATACTGTTTTCTATGGATTCTTCCACTTCCAAGATCACAGGCTCCCAGGAAACACCATTAAGGAGCCAGTTTCAAAGCTCAGTTATTTTGTATCCTTCTCTCAAGTCATACATGGTCATTGTTTGGCATGCATGCTTGAAAATATATACCATATATGTATTTAATAGCGTTTATTCTCATGGCATCAGGAAAAGCTCAATTTTGTCAGCATTTTGTTCTGCTTAGTTGAAAATAGATAACTGCACAGAAACACATTAGACATGAGGCAGTCAACAACTTCCCCTGATGATACTTCCATTTAGAAGTAAATAAACATTCATGCAAGCAGCTGACAAGGAACACTCAATTAATGATAAACATTCATCATATAGTTTATATTGCCTCTGAGAAGTTAATGAGACTACACATCATAAACATAGTTGGCAGAGTTGAATCAGAAAAGAAGTTGCCTTTAATTTATATTTGATTAAAAATATTTTAACCAAATATAAAATTATAATGTAAACTTTTCACATCCAAATATAGATCTGATTGTTACTCATTTGTAAATTTATAATAATTCCTAAAATATGATTGCAATCCCAACCAAGCAGACAGCTTACTTTGAACTCTGAAATGCTCTTATGTATAAAATGTATTTCAAGTTAAGAATGCAAAAGATATATTCCATTTTACAAAATTCATTTCTGTCCTTTAAGGGAAAAAGTGATATTTCAAAAATAATGTTTTAATGCTTTGTGTTCTGCAGATATATATAGAAATATAAACCAAGAATCAGAAGTTGATGCTAAAATCTCAATGAGGATAGAAAATTAACATGTTCTAATGCTGTTCTCATTAATAATATTGATAATATGATTGCCCTAAAATTAACTGTTAAATGTTTAGGGGGGGAAATAGAAAATTTGAAATTCCCAGCAAAATTTTAAAAGATGAAATTGCAAAGTTTTTATCCCCATTTGATTGGTAACACATACATATTCACACAAAATTTACTGCCATTAAGGTACAGTCCTATTGTGCTATGTCTGTGAAGGGAAGAGTGGTTGCTACAGGTAGTCCTTTCTCCTATAAATTCTGATCTATGTTTCTTTGGATTTTATTGTGAAATTAAGAAAAGAGTTGGACTGTATTACACAAAGAGGAAAAAAACTTCCTTCTTCTACCAGTCCAATAAATTTGGAGATAATTTTGTTAAATCAATTGATGCTTCACAGAGAGCACAAATAATTCTTAAGGGAGAATAACAAAATCTTGTGGGATTCAAAAAGGGATAAGACAAGGATGCTCTCTGCCTCCGCTCTTATTCTTTTTAGTTCTTCAGGTACTGAATAGATACATAAAATGAGAAAATTGTGGGAGTGAAGATTTAAAAAGGAACATATAATTTTAGGGCATTGATGACCTAGTGCAGGGGTAGGCAACCTTGGCTCTTTTATGACTTGTGGACTTCAATACTTAGAATTCCTGAACCAGCCATGCTGACTCAGGAATTCTGGGAGATGAAGTCCACAAGCAGTGGTGGGATTGAGCCAGTTCGCATCACTTTGGCAGAACCGGTAGCTAATTTTTTGTTGCTCAAGTCCAAAATGAACTTCCAGAAGCGGTATCCACACAGAGAACTGGTTGTTCACATATTTGAATCCCACCACTGTCCACAAGTCATAAAAGAGCCAAAGTTGCATAACCCTGATCCTAGTGGTAGGTTTGGAGTACCCATTAGAGGGAGTAGAAACATTCATGGGAAAATTAAAGGACATTGGTATGCTAGCAGGTTTTAAGATTAATAACCAGAAAATGAAGATATTAATAAAAAATATGAAAATAGAAAACCAAATAGAATTGATGGAGAAAACTGGCTTAAGATTGAAAAAAAAAGGAAAATCCTTGGATATTACTATGATAAATATGAATTGTATATCATTTCAAATAATTATGCTAAGACATGGAACAAAATTAATGGCATGTTAAAATAGAAGAAATTAAAATTGTCTCTATTGGGGAGAATTTCTATGATAAAAATCCATTTTTTTGCCTAGAATGATGTCTTTGCTTCAGACAGTACCTGTTTTGACAACTGATGTTCTGTTATAGCAAAGACAAAAAGTCATTGGCAAGGGAAAAATATCCACAAGTTAAATACAAATTGTTACACGATGCAAAGGAAAGAGGACTGGATTTACCAAACGTTCCATCACTTTTTGATCTCATAACATTTAAATTGTTACTGGAAAACAGCACATCTAGTGGTACTTCCTATTCTAAAGAGTCTTAAATCAATGTATCTAGCTAGCATTTTGAATATTGCCCTTTGGTAATTTCAAAACAATCAGGTAGTTTTCTTAGCCAGTTTTCTCATTATAAAAAGGTCATGCATGCACCTTCACATGACCATACATAAAAGTACTTTTGCACTTGTGATCCCTCCTCCTCCTTTGTTATTGTTGGAACCAAAAGCCTAGTGGGACATTCCAAAATACTTTTCAATTTCTTAAGGGAATGTCCCAGTAAGGTGAGAACAAATAAGATCACTTCCCTCTGAACTTTCAATTTCCTTTTCAGCTTTGCAGGATTATTGTTTCAATTTTATCCTTCATGAATTTAAATCACCATCAGTAAAATTCTATTCATATTCTATTCTATTCTTAATCAGTCTTACTTCTCCCAATGCTCTCTTCTTTCAAAAATCAGATATAAAACAGAGCCAGTTTCCAAAGAAGTTGTTTTCCCACTTCCTATTCAACTCGGTTACTCTAATTATGCATGATATTTATTGGGCTAGCAATAGATAGATCAACATCATGAGGATGCTGAAGAATAATTTGCTTTTATTTTATTTTCTTGGTGAGAGAATGGTTTGTAGACTGTATTTGCATATTTCCTCAAGACCTTTTCAAAGGATTTTCTTGGCAACATATATTCTCACCTTGCTGAGGTAGCAAAGGAAGTAATCTATAGGGGATGGAAAGTAAGTTGCATATATTGTTCCATTTGGGTCCAAACAAGATGTATTAATTGATTATTAATTCATTTGTAATTCATTAATTATATATCCATTTATATTGCCATTCATTTCATACAGTGACTCTGGGCAATAAATACAATTGAACATAACAATAAGGAATAAAATAAAAACAACATAATGAAAACAGAGAATTATATGAAGGCAATTGAATGGCCATATAAATATTTTAAATAAATAAATAGCTCATCAACAATAAGTCTCATAAACTTGACCAACCTCCATTTATGCGTAATGTATTAGGCTCCCTGACTGGGGCATAACATAAAAAGGTAGTGCTCAGGATATTAATGACTGCTCAGTCTAATTAATCCTAATTAGTCCTTTGAGAAACACTTAGAGAGATTCATGCAGAAAAATATGGATGTGTTGTGTTTAGACTACTTTAGAGATATATCCAGGGAGTTATTTTTTAAAAAATGAAAACAGATGCAAAAAAGTAAGATGTAAATCACAATTTATTTTCCACAGCAAATATATACAGTATATATATATATATACATATATACAAAGACATTTACTTTTGTGCAAGTAAACTCCAAAGTATGTCAAGTAAAACAGAATGTATAACTCATCTTATACTACCTCATTGTGAGCCAGTTTGAGTACTATATTTTTGTAGGATAATTTTTAGCAGTTTGGGGAGCTGCAAAAAATTGGTTCATATTTTGAACGGAAACTACCATATTTGCCAATTCACTACCTATCGTACGTAACTCCTGTGCCACACTGCAGAAGTCCCCTCTCAGTCCACAAACGGCATTTTTAATTTCTTCCAAAATGCTCATATTTTTTTCCTCAGCACTCAAAGGAAAAAGATTTGTGGCAGGAGGAAGATTTGTGGCTGGCGATACAGGGTTAGATCCAGCAAGTTCTTCCTCCACTAAATTGTTTGCCCAACTTTCACCAGAAGCATGATAAGTTCTGCTCCTAAAGCTATCATTTTTCTCAACAGAACATTTTGAATTATCAGGTAGTAGGCTTAAAATGCTAGCATTGTCATCTACATCAGACACTGGGCAAGGAGAAAAAGAATGTGCAATCCGTTCCTTGAGATCTTTAAAAAAAACAGAAGGTAATCCATGTGGTGAAGGCATGTAGGAGGGGCCATGGAGTGCAACAGAATAGGGCTGAGGGGTGTTGTTTGGTACTGCAGATTCTGGGGACGAGATGGAGAAAGTAGAAAAAGAAGAAGTTGTTCCAATGGAGCTGGCAGAATCTAAAAAATATACACACATATATATCGATACAAAAAAAGATCATTGTTTTCCAAAACTATGTATTCATACTCCTTTATGTTTTGTTAATTATAAATCTAAGCACCTTAATTTACAATATACTATATAAAATAAACAGAGTTAAGTTACCAATAAAGAAGGATATTTGTAGTTCAGAGTTGAAATGAGGGGTCCTTGGTGCTCTCTGAGCTTGGTTGATTTTATTTATTTTATAGGATTTATATGCCGCCCTTCTCCCCATGGGACTCAGGGCGGCTCACAGCATATTAAAACATCATACAAAAAATTTCCCCTACTAAAAACCAATTAAAACCCAAATATTGGTAGCTGTGGCTCTTTAAAATCGTTAAAAATTGTCCCTATTTAAAACTCACCCTAGGTCAGGCCCGCTTGTTG